CATATATTAACTCATATATGTGGAACCTAGAAAAATGGTACAGATGATCCGGTTTGCAGGGCAGAAATAGAGACACCGATGTAGAGAACAAACGTATGAACACCAAGGGGGGAAAGTGGCGTGGGGTGGGTGTGGGGGTGTGATGAATTGGGCGATTGGGATTGGCATGTATACACTGATGTGTATAAAATGGATAACTAATAAGAAAAAAAAAAAAGATAGCTAGTGGGAAGCAGCCGCATAGCACAGGGAGATCAGCTCGGTTGTTTGTGTCCACCTAGATTCGTGGGATAGGGAGGGTGGGAGGGAGATGCAAGAGGGAGGGCATATGGGGATATATATATATATGTTTAGCTGATTCACTTTGTTATAAAGCAGAAACTAACACACCATTTTAAAACAAATATACTCCAATAAAGATGTTAAAATAAAGAATGAATGAATTAAAAAAATGTAAAAAAAACCCGACTTGAACACTAACTATATTAATTGGCATTTATACAACACTCCATCAACAGCAAAATACATATTCAAGCACACACAGAATATTTACTTAGTTACAGCACATTTGGGGCCATAAAACATCTCAAAACTTATTTCAAAATGTTCTGCAGTAGAATAAAGAATTTTTCTGCTCTTAGTCCAGAGTTCCTGGCATGGAGCTCCTAAAACCTTTAGAATTTCCCAAATAGGAGTGTCTTTGTTATTCATCATGGACACGGACAATGTATGCTAATGAGGTGATTCGTTGTGGGCCCCTAGATAGCTTATATCAACAAGATGACTTAGGATGGAGATAGCCCACATCAGAAAGACCAACCACTTGATTAGAATGTTGAGGCTTTGAGCCAGCCTGACATCCAGGGAGGGTAGGACAGGGAAGCTGGAGATGGAGTTTAATCACATGGCCAATAATTTACTAAATCCTCCCTGTGTAATGAAACTCCAAGAATAACTCTTGACTTCCTTAGATCTTAAAAGTTCTCATCACAAGGAAAAAAAAATTTTAACTATGTGTGGTGACAGATGTTAACTAGACTTGTTATGGTGGTCATTTTGCAATATATACAAATATTGAATCAATATGTTTTACACATGAAGCATGTTATATATCAATTATATCTCAATTAAAAAAAAAACTCCAAACTTCCTGATCCTTTGATATATTTTATTTCTTGACCTGGATAGTTACATAGTTTTTGCTTATGATAACCCATTAACATGTCCATTCATTTATGTACTTTTCTGTACACATATTTCACAACAGAAATTTTAAAATATTGATATTAATCCAGATTCGATGAAAGACAAATCTGCAGATTCAGAGAGCACCCAAATCCCAAACATGATAAAAATATATATTTTGACATACAGTAAAAACTTCAGAGCTCCAAAGATAAAAGTAAATATATTTTAAAACAACCCGAGAAGTCAATTCTAAATCCACAGTTCTGAAGACATAATTTCAGAAAGTAAAAATAATTCTATTTTGAAGAAACATCTGCAATACAAGAAAAAAAGGTGACCCCCCCCCCCCCCCGCAACCAAGATAAACGTGAGCAAACCCAAACACTAACTATATAAAATACTAACAATATCCAATTTGGAGGTTATATAAAGAACTAGAGGAATTTGATTAAAATTAATATATTTTAACATCTTTGTGTTGTTTGGAAAGAGGGTACAGATTATATACAATTTTTAGATGTTAAGTATGTTAAATTTTTAAGGATAATCAAAAACTTAGAATGTTTAAATTTCAAATCAGTAGAAGGAAAATAGAAAATTCAACCATGCCAAAAGGAAGACAGGAAAGGGATAAGGATGGGAAAGAAGCATAGCATAGAAAAAGAAAAAAATAGAAAGCACAAAATAAGATGAAAAAAGTAAATCCACACAGACTTGCACTTCTGCACTATGGTGGGACAGATATTCTTAAGTGTTCTCCCAATACAAAACACTAGATTCTGAAGAAAACAAATGATTTAATTCATTGCTGGGTTGTGCTATATAAGAGACATTTCCAGGTCCCATCCCTCTACACTCACACAGGGGAAAAAAAAATTGAGCTGAAGCAAAAGCAGGAAAGAAGCAGGAAGTATCAGGCAAGAAGCAAACTTGTCTGAGTGCTGAAAATAAGACAAAGACAAACTGCATTCAGTCAGGAACCTTGCCGGGGCTACAGTGGTGCCAATGGGTTTGGTACTGCCTCACTGGAAGCAAATGCAAAATCACATCTGAAGGAAAGCATACACAATTTAGGCCCTTTGTTTTCCCACAGATTTAGCTTAGCCACACACTAAAGAAAACAAGCCAAAATAGTACACAACAGTATTTAGTACACAATGGTACACACAAAAATTTAGACTTATAAGACTTAAAATACTGAAATGATCAGAAATAGAATATGAAATATTTATGAAAATTTTAAAATTAGAAATGGACTTACAAGAGACTATAATGAATAAACGGGAAGATTAGAAAAAGAATAAAATGAAGAATATAATTATTGACATTAAAACCATCATTAGTGTTTTTAAATCGATCAGACATTGCTGAAAAATGAATTACTAAATAAGACACAGAGATGATGAAATTAACCAAAATGCAGCACAGATAAACAAGATGATGAAAAATATGAAAGATTAAAGGACATGATAGAGTAAGAAAGTCCATCATTTGTGCAATCAGAGTCCTAGAAGAATAGAGAAGCAGTATTTGAAGAGTGGCTAAAAATTTAACAGAACTAAAATGAAATGAAAGATACAGAAAGCCAGCATACACCAAGAATAAATAAAAAGAAATTCACATCTCCAAACATTACAGTAAACCTGTAGAACACCAAAGAAAAAAGAGATTATTTTATTAAAAGTATATAGAGATAAAAAGATAATCTAAAAAGTCAGACGCTGAGGCACAAAGATGTTGAAAGACCAACTTAAGGCCACAGAATAAATAAATAGCAGAGTGGTGATACACCCCTTGCATTCTCACTTAAGAAAGTGTACTTTTTACTACTTTATTTTCTCTTTTTAAACTGTCCCAAACTGTTTACTTTACTTTTCTTAACCTTTTTTTTTTCTTTCTAACTTTCCAGTTGTCCAATGATTTCTGGCTGAAACAATTACAAGGATTATTAGAAACTTTGTAAAAATGTATTACCTAAAAAAGTAATATACTCCTTCATATGAATTTTAACTACCTTACCAGAATACTGCATGTAGAAAATTCTATAGTCTTTGATCCTAAGCACTAAATATTTGCATGGTAAATAATTTCTGACATTCTTGCTCCAAGTTATTGTTTTTGATAACCCCAACTCCCTGTTAAAAATCCTTGTTAGGGAATTTTCAGATGTCAAGAAATCTAAAACTAATTAAAAGTCCTCACCAGGAAGAAAATATTTTTAAACAACTTTTATTCATGTTTGTACACTTTGTTTTTATCATCCTTTCTTTCTTATATCTGGAAAGGATATAAACTTGAGAACAGACCTACAACAATCCAATGCTGACTCACACTTTGGTGCTTTCTAGAAACATCCTCTATGTCCTGCAAATTATAAAATGTCCACAAGCTTATATCTGATTCTTAATCTGGAAGGCAAAAGGGGAATGCAACAACAATGGGAGAAATAGGATACCCATCAATTTAGTCACTGTGTATATTTGTTGTGGGTATAATATTCTTAATCTCATCTCCAAATCTCCATCTCCAAAATTGTAGAGATTAAAACACACCTAATCCATTGTTTTTAGACCCTAAAGACTGGCCAGAGGAAATGGACTTCTTCCACTATCTGACATTCTTTTTTTTTTTTTTTTTTTTTTTTTGCGGTACCCGGGCCCCTCACTGTCGTGGCCTCTCCCGTTGCGGAGCACAGGCTCCGGATGCGCAGGCTCAGCGGCCATGGCTCACAGGCCCAGCCGCTCCGCGGCATGTGGGATCTTCCCGGACCGGGGCACGAACCCGTGTCCCCTGCATCGGCAGGTGGACTGCCAACCACTGCACCACCAGGGAAGCCCTATCTGACATTCTTAAAGACCTATCACTTTGAATTTCTAGTGTCATCCTTCCCTTAATCAACTTGTATGGAGAGTTCCTTCCAGTTCTTTACAACAAATACACTCCCCAGCCCAATTCCCTGCTGGGCCTCTGCCACACAACTCATTCGTTCAATACTTACTGAGCACCCTCTGTGTGCCAGGCATTGTGGTAGGTTCTAGATATACTAAGAATCATTAATTGAATATACACTGCTTTGGTATTTTTTTAAAATCAACTTATCGAATGGTACATAGTACTTCAGTCAAAGACATACATTTTTAGCAGATTAGCTGGCAATACAATTTCTTTTTTTTTTTTTTTTTTTTTTTTTTGCGGTACGCGGGCCTCTCACTGCTGTGGCCCCTCCCGTTGCGGAGCACAATCCCCAGACGCGCAGGCCCAGAGGCCACGGCCCACGGGCCCAGCCGCTCCGCGGCACGTGGGATCCTCCCGGACCGGGGCACAAACCCGTGTCCCCTGCATCGGCAGGCGGACTCTCAACAACTGTGCCACCAGGGAAGCCCTAGAATTTCTTATAGCTATTTCCTAATGAGGTGAATTTCTTGAGCAACTCCATAGTTCATAGAAAAAACCTGCTCTTTGGTACAGCATACCAATGATTTGGCCACTCTATTTTTTATATACAGTCATATATATCTTCCTCCCAACGTTTCCACAATGAATGGAAAATGTACTAATGCTGACCATGATATTCTTTTTATTGAAAAGCAATATAAAATAGCTTTAGAAATAAGAGGAAGGTAATATTTTACATTATTTCTGTTACGAATATTTTTATGCTTTGTGCCAGAATTTACTTCCCATAACTATGTTTGCTTTATTTGGAACATTTTATATTGTGTTTCGACATTATTGAAAGTATTAGTGTTTAATTTAGAAGAGCTTAATAAACTGTTAATCTGAGAACGTCTTTCCCGTTTTTCTGAGCATGCTTATTTATGTACAGTGTGGAAATCTGATCCTGTTCTCTTCCAATCAGCCAACAGTTCTTTTTGTACCTCTTCTGGTAGTTCATAGAAAACTTCAGGATCAATGTCAGAAGGAAAAGTGATTTTCTCTTTGGTAGAATCTTGCTCTCTATTTTCTGTAAGTCCTTCATGAATAAAGACTGTTGCCATCGGTTGTTTATGGCTGTCTGTAGTGCAGTTTTTGGAGAAAAGTTGCTCACTCTGCACATTTGGAAATGAATGGAAAACAGATACAGCAGGGTCTGTTTTTGAAAAGTGGAATCCTTGAGACTCTTTAGGTCCTTGACTCATTAGTTCATCTTTTAAGTTACTGTCTATATAATGTGAATAATCCTTTTGGCTAGACACATAAGAGGAACTACTGCTATTTAAGCCTGATGTTCCTGGTTCACAGGGAGATACAGAGGATATCTGTTTGGTATTGGATAAATGATCCCTAGGATTTAAGGAACCATCTTGCATTTGTTTTGTAGAAAAGAAAGATAATACTCCTCTAGAAGCATGTAATGGACAACTCAAACTTCCTTTCCCTTGAACTTTTTCTCTAGATTTTCCAGAAATGATTTCTTCTTGAATATCTACTGGAAGCTGCTTAAAGACCTCTTGGTCAATACCCTCAGGAAGTGAGGAGAGTGGAAATTCGTTACTGTCTTTTTCTTTAGAAAAACTTGTAGTATCTGGTGGAGACTCCCCAGTTCTTGTACTTTCAATTCTTCCAGTTGGTAGAAAATCCCAATTTGTTTCCTTGTCTTTAGAAAAATCCTCCATATGAGTGTCTTTCATTTTCTAGAATACAAGGGTAACAGAAAAATTTAGATAACTGGTATCTTTTAAACATTCATGCTGCTGAAGTGTGATTGTAGCTATTATCCGACCAACATGTTTCTATCCTACTCCATAACTTCAATCCTTTTGGCCAGTTCCAAACAACTAGAAATGATCAATCCACCACAATTAGTCACACAACTGTGTGGATCTTTACTCACTATTCCAGGAAGACGGCTTCCTTCCTAGAAAGCACTGAGCCAGAAGGTAGGTATGTACTGGAAACCTGGAAAGGACCTGAACAATCATGTATTCAAACTTTCAATTCTGTGAATAAAAAGACTGGTGGCCTATAAAAATAAAATGATTCACCAAGGGTGGCTAAAATATATGTATATGCACAGATAGCACCAAAGGCTGGTTTTCTAAAATTCCCTATTTTGAAGTGTAACATTTAACAGAAAGAAAACAAAATACTTCTATGGTAAAAACCCAGTATCATTATTAAGATGTAACACTATTCTATATTTACATGAAATAAAAATTTTACAACACCTTCCATTTTAATTTGCCTAATTTTCCCTCTAGTTTCAAGCACCATAAAAATGTACAGATAGTCAAATATAATTCAGGAAACATCAACACATTAGTAACTTCCAAAAAGTAAAAGGAGAAGAGATTTGGGTCACTGTTTTTATTGAGCATGAACTGTGTGCCAGACATGTACAAGGTACTTTCACTTATGTTTACTCTCTACTACTACTGTGAATGAAAGACCTTTAATTCTCATTCTACAGACTAATTAAAAAGTAAACATCTTTTTAAATGTCAGTTAATACACAGAATAAAAAGGGTCACTGAAAAAAAGTAATTTGAAGAGGGCACTAATTCAGTATTTCCAAAACACTATTCTGTTCTCATTATAAGCTTAAATGTAAATAAAAATATTACTAAAATTATAATGACTGATTAAACAATAAAAATAAAGAAAATAATAAAAACATTTAAAATTAAGAGTTGGACTTCCCTGGTGGTGCAGTGGTTAAGAATCTGCCTGCCAATGCAGCGGACATGAGTTCGATCCCTGGTCCAGGAAGATCCCACTGCAGCGGAGCAACTAAGCCCGTGTGCCACAACTACTGAGCCTGCACTCTAGAGCCCGTGAGCCACAACTACTGAGCCCATGTGCTACACCTACTGAAGCCCACGCACCTAGAGCCCGTGCTCTGCAACAGGAGGAGCCACTGCAATGAGAAGCCCACGCTCCGCAACGAAGAGCAGCCCCCGCTCGCTAGAGAAAGCCCTCACGGAGCAACGAAGACCCAATGCAGCCAAAAATAAATAATAAATAAAATTTATAGATAAATAAATAAAATTAAGAGTTAACTGTAGGCATAAACAATTTAGTAAAAGATGATTATTTTTTAAAGCATTTGGTAAACAAAAGTTTGCATTTTCTTTTAGTCATGTGAAAATATGACTAACCTCTGCCTCTCTATTGCCACACTCTTAATTTCTACAATTGTAAAATGAGGAGTCATATTCTATCAATATTGCTACCAGAATTTTATGTAATTTCAAAACCAAGAAAACTTAAATATTTGAACAAAGACATTTGGGGGGGTGGTCATCGCTGGTAGCTTATGTATAAATTGACAACAAGATTAGATTTCCAGTATTTGAAAATATTTTCATGTGAGCTAATCATCATATTCCTATATACTGTTATAAAATGTTTTAACAGTTCCAAAACAGAGAACCTCTATCAAGGTTTTCTCTTTTATCCAGCGATGTTTATGTTTTATTCTTAGGTCACAGTACAGTATACTTAAGGCTAGAAACCATAATATGAAAAGCACTATTACAAGTAAGTCATTCAAATCATATCACTCAAAAGAATCTCTAAATTATATCAGTTAAACACAAATTTATATCTCTAAATTTAACCATACAAATCCAGTAACAGTGTACTTACAAAACTGTGCTTGCCAGAGCGTGAAGTTGTTGATAATGATGGTGTTAAATAATAATCAATAGTCCCTTTCTTAGCAGTATTTAGGGCTTTAAGGTTGCAGAAGCACACACTTAAAAGGGTAAGATGAAATGGCATCTTCACATTCACCATATTTCGAAAAAGTTTCATAAGTACATCAACCATTGGGGTCATCACATCATAATTTCCTAAATAAAATGTTTAAGAAGACAATATCTAAACACATTATATCATAATTGATATTAAGAGCTTAATCTAATTTATATTGCTTAGATTAAGAAGTTAAAATCCTAAATAGATATCATTGGGACATCTTGACATTATTTACTGAACTGGGACATCTCAACACTAACACCAATTGCCAAATGAGTTAAAGTTTTCAGAAGATTTGAAATATGGAACTTTTAGTTATAGGAGAATGATGAGGTCAGAAAATCTCCCCATAAAATTAAAATAAAACTGAACAAGATGGTCAAAAATAATCATTCTGAGATTCTGGAATGAACCAAAGGCAAATAAAGTGAGAAGCACTGATGTATGAAAAGCTGCTGGAACTTAGGTAATGAAGTGGGGACAGCAGCCTTCTTGGTTGGAGTTGCTTGTATCCCCATTTACACAGTGCAGTTTGTACAGTAGCTTTACCAGGATGAGGCTGGCTGTGAAAGCCCGAAGCTTTGCTGCCAGAAATGACTGACCTGACTTGAGGTAGAGGGCAAAAGCCCACACCCAGCAGTGTTGCCAGAAAAATGAACAAACTTGGTAGGAAACAAAGGAAATCACATAGCTCTTGAGCCTGGGGTTGCAACTGTGGTTGGGATGAGTGAAAGATCAGTGGACCAGCCATAAGTTTAACCAGGAGATCTGGAAATGAGAGAACCACAGAGGAACTAGATAAGCTCTCCTCACAACCCCAGCTGACTGAGAGCTGCACACACAGAGAGGAGCCAAGCTTTCCATATGTCTCTCACCAGAATGGCAGCAAATATACCAGGGGAGATGCAAGAGGGACGAGCCAAAAATAAAGGCCAAGGCAGACTTGAAAAAGGCCTAAATTTTGAAAGTGCTCTCCAACCCAAGCACTTGTCTGCTGACAGAAAATGAAAGCCTTCCAGGCTGTAGTATTTGAGCAAACATTTGACCAATTATTGTCTAACCACCAAACTATGCAGACACAGGGTAATCTCCTAAGAAGACAAAATTTAAAATTTAAATTAAAAAAAAGAAAACAAGTTAAGCAGAGAGATCAGGGGCAACACAACACAGGGGAGGTAGATTCTACAGCTTAAGTCCAGACAGGTTACAAAGAAAGAAAAGGAAAAAAAAGCCCACAGGGAAAAAAATCCAAATCCAGAGTTTCTAGAATACATTATCTAGTCCAATTTTCAACAAAACATTACAATACATACAAAAAAAACAAACAAACAGGAATGTGATTCATACTCAGGCAGAAAAAGCAGTCAATAGAAACTGACTTTAAGTTCAATTTAGCAAAGACTTCAAAGTTGCTATTATGGATATTTTCAAAGAATTAAAGAAGATCATTTTAAGGAATTAAAGTAAGATATAATAACCACTACCAAAAAGAGGGAGTCTCAATAAAGAGACAGAATCAAACATACAAACAAAACAAAACAAATGGAAATTCTAGAGTTATAAAGTATAGTAACCAAAACAACAACAACAAAATCACTAGATGTGTAACAACAGTTTTGAGGTGACAGATGAATCAGAGAACTTGAATACAGCTCAAAAGAAATTATCTAATCTGATAAAGAAGAAAAAAAGTCTGAAGAAAAATGAATAGAATTGCACACACCTATAGGACATTATTATCAAGCATACCATCATATGTGCAATGAGAGTCCCAGAAGGAAAGAAAAAGAAGAGAGAATATTTGAAGAAATAAGAGCCCCAAATTCCCCATATTTCATTTAAAAATTTAGTCTACAGAATTAAGAATCTCAATAAATCCCAAGTAGGATAAACACACACACACACACACACACACACACACACACACACAACCACTTAGATATACCATAGTCAAACTGCTGAAAAAGACAGAGAGGTAAATAACTCATCACATAAAGGAGAACAACAATACAACTGTGCCTGGTAACAATTTATTGCCTCTCAGCTACAAATCACCCTTCAGTAACTGCTGTGTGATAATGCGCTGGACTCTAAAATTTTTTTTACATTGAACTCAACTGTTAAGTTTTGTCAGTAGAGAGAACTGGAGGACCATTAAAGGAGAAACGGTGTTTCTCTTCCTGGTTCCGATGTACTGTCATTTACCTTTTCTTGCTCCCGTAACATGGTCTGAGTGCAGTACATATGTGTGGAAATATCCAATAGTGCTGTGCCATACCACATGTGTGTGGAACGCTCAGTCCCTCAGCAACCTCCAGCCCCAGTCCAAGCCTAGTGACCATGTTACCATGGCACTAGCTACTCAAACACTGCACATACCAGGCCTGTGCCATAAACAGCACCCTGACTCTTCCTGCATACCCACCTAATAGGCTTGACTTGCATATGCCACAGAAGGTTGTTTCCTCCAGCTCTTCCTATGCAGGCACCATACCCTCCACCTTTGCACTAGCAGAAGAATGAAGATTCCTTCAGCATAAACACCTACCAGTCTCAGCTTGCCCACATCCTGGAGGATTGTTAACAGAAGCCCTCTCAACATGGATACCGCACACCTGCATACCGCAGCCCGTGCGCTGCCCTGCCAGTGAGCAAACTCCCAACATCCCAACACCTCCTGTGCACCCACCAATCAGCCTCAGCTCATCTGTAGATCAGAGCATGGTATTCTCTTTGCCCAATAACTATGGACCAGCTCTGGGCCAGGTAACTCAAAGGATTTCTCTACCATTCAGTGTTCTGCAACACACCTTCTCCTTAAGGGGTAAGAGGACTCTCTTTTCCAAGCTTGCCCTTCCTTGGATACTTTTCCTTAGCCCTCAGGTACCTCTTAGAGTATCTTTATATCTTTACAGTCACTCCCCTATCATAATTTAGTAATTCTTTGAAACTTTCCCTGTTCAAATTTCTGTGTGGTTATTCTCTCTTGATTGGAACTAGTAACAGGAATCTCTCCTGATTAAGCTATTAACAGCTGCCTCCTCATCAAAAATAATGAAAACCAGAAAGCAGTGGAATACTATATTCAAAGTATAGAAAGAAACCAGTAAAGGATTATATATCCAGACAAACTGTCATTCAAAAATGCTATTTTGGAGAAGTAGTCCATAAATTTTAGTTAAGTAGAATATGGTTTGATAGCGTTGCTCAACTCTTCTTTTCAAATGCAAATGGAACATTCTCCAGGGTAGACCATATGCTAGGCAACAAAATAAGGCACAATATATGTAAAAGGACTGAAGTTACTTTAAGTGTGTTCTCTGATCAACTAAAATCAAAATGGAAATCAGCAACAGAAAGAAATTTGAAAAATAATCAAATATTTGGAAATTAAACAGCAAATTTCTAAATAAGTTTAAGGGTCAAGGAGGAAATCACAATGGATATTAGAAACTACTTTAGCATTAATGAAAAAGAAACACAACAAAATTTATGGAATGCAGCTAAAGCACTGCTTAGAAGGAAATGTATAACTTTAAACTTGAATTATTAGAAAAGGAGGTAAGTATAAAATAAATAATGTAAGCTTCCATCTTAAGAAACCAGGAGTGGAAAGGCAAATGAAACCTAAAGCAAGCAGAAAGAAGGAAATAACAAAGATCAGAGCATAAATAGATGAAATAGAAAGTAGAAAGACAATTGAGAAACCAATGACACCAAAAGTTGAATCTTGGAAAAGAATAACAAAACTGATAAACCTTTGCTAGAATGACCAAGGGGAAAAAAAAAAAAGAATACACAAATTACCAAAATCAAGAATGAAAGAGAGGACATCACTATAGACCCTACAAAAATTAGGATTATAAGGGAATATTAACAACTTCATGACAACAAATTAGACAGCTTGGATGAAATGCATACATTCCTAGAAGATACAAATGACCAAAACTGACTCAAAATGAATAGAAAATCAGAATAAACTTATAACAAATAAAGAAATCAAATTCTTATTCATAAAAGAACAAAGCTAGAGAACTTACACTACCTAATTTCAAAACTTACAACAAAGTATCAAGGCAGGGTAGAACTGGTATAAGGATAAACATATAGATCAATGGAATAAGAAGGTCAAAAATAAACCCTTACATTTATGGTCAATTAGTTTTTGACAATGGTGCTATGGCAATTCAAAGAGGAAAGAACATTCTTTTCAACAAATTCTGTGGAACAACTGGATACCAACATGGAAAAGAAGAAACTAAGACTCTTACTTTACACAACACATAAAAATTAATTCAAAGTGGATCTAAGCAGAAATCTTAAAACTATAAAATTTCTGAAAGAAAACATAAGAGAAAATATCTATAACCTTTGGGTTAGGCCAAGAATTTTTAGATGATATCAAAAGTACTATCCATATAAGAAGAAAGAACAAAACAATGAAATACCATTACACAGTCATGAGAATGAGTACTAAATGTCAGTGAGAATATGAAAAAACTGGAACCCTCTATACTTTGTTGGTGAGAATTATACTCACTTTGAAAAAAAATGTGTCAGTTTGGAGTTCAACTTTACCATACAACCCAGGAATTCCACTCCCTGTAATCTACCCAAGATGAACAAAAGCATATACTTGCCCAATGACTTGCACACAAATGTTCACAGCACCATTTTTCGTAACAGTCAAATTTTTCGTAACAGTCAAAAACTGGAAACAATCTAAATGCCCATAAAGAAGTTATCTCGTGCTATATAACTAATTACCATAGTTTTGTTTTCTCTGGAGTTGGGAAGCATTCCTAACTGAGTCTTTACTTTTAATATCTATTAAAAAACAACAAAGTTTTCTAGTGAAAATTTCATATAGAATAAAAGTATTTAATAGTTCACTAACTCCCTGTGAAGACTACCCATCTTTAGATCATATTTCTAACTCAAAGTTTGTTTTTTTAAGAGTTCGACCTGCCAATTAAATTATCAGAAAATTAGTCCATTACCTATCCCTAACTTCTGAATTATGTGGGATGGAATTGGGCACTGACGACTCTCACGGCTATAGTGCTTCTCAGATGAATACCGACGGATTATTAATCTTATTGTATGTGGCTTCCTTCCATCTTGGCAGACTCTAAAAATAAAGAGAAAGAGGAAACAAGGAATTAGAAAAAGTATTATCTAAAGTTTTTTTAATGGTCCAATATACCTCATTTACCTAAAGGTGCCAGATTTAGTAACTGTAACAATTATAAATACAGTTGATAATTAGGCAGTAGGCAATAAAGGTCCCTGAATAGTCCAAGCAAACTTCACAAAGTCTACATAATAAAGCTCTGAAACTTAAATAAGGCTCTCAGGCCTCATGCAGAATTGAGTGCTATCAGAAAAAGAAAAGAGATAAGATATAATAATAACAAGCCATTTTACAATCCAAATCCAAAACATAACTAAAAGCAACATATTA